TAAAGTATGCCGGCCTCCTGCTGTCTCCCTGTAAAAACATAAGGAATACTCTGCTTTATTCTGTTTTAATCCAGCCTGGTTTTAATTCAAACAGGGCCTCTTTGGATCCTGGCCAAGTAAATAGTTCTGAGGAAATCTCTCGCTTTCTCTCCCCTTCAGTCGTTCTGGCCTCTTACTCTGTAATGTAAAATACAATCCTCTTTGCAGAGACAGGGTGGGACAAGAAGACATATAACATCGTCCTTGGAGAAAATGGCCATCAATCTGCCACTTCTGCTGCACACTTTCTTCCATTTACCTATGCCAACTCATCCAGGCACCTCCCCCAGTTTCTCTCTTTTTATTGCTAGGAGCTTCCAGCAAGAGTCACATTGAAATTGTGGTTCTTGTGCGGGGGCATTACATTTGATTTACTGATTGATTTTACCATAAATAGCCTTCTTCTCCTACCAGCTGCCCATGAACACATCTATTCTTGGGCAATTGCTGCAGTCAAAGATAAAGCATCACATGCCCTATAACAGCTAACATTAAGGTTTTTATAAATGTAAAATTTTTAACTTCTTCACATCTTTGTATAGAGTAATTCTCCACTTGTTTTAAGATGGACTGCTTGATTATGAAAAAAATATTAGTCACCTTTATGTGGGCTAGTATTGTAATTACAGTAAACATGATTGCTTTTGAAAACACATTGAAATTCTTCACTTTAATGGAAAAATCAAAACATAATGGAAAAGGGAAATGTACCAAAATAAGAGTATTTGTTTTTCGAAACAGATAAGAATCAACTGGAACATAATTTTGAGTGATTTTAAGACAATAAACTATTTTAAAAGTTACCCTCAGAAAGGTAGTACACTTTGTGGTGTTGCATGCCATTACACTACAGTAGTAAAAAATAAAACAATCTAGAGAGGTAAACCGCTCATCTGCTGGAAACTCATTTCCAAATGTGGCTCCACTAAACATTTCTGATTTGTACTTTATACTAAACAATTACTAATCCAATATGGCGGTATTTTTGAGGGGAAATGTAAGTTCACCCTTTTTTTCATTCTGGTCTTTTACAAAACTCTGATTCCAAATTGAGGAAATTGTAGCTCCTTGTTCCTCTTTTATTCGCCTTTTCTGAAGGTCAACAGTACAGTAAAAACACTATCCTGGGTAGGAAAGGAACTCGGGACTGCTGTGCTTAATCCAGACAGCCTTAGCCTTTCTAGACATCATTGTGAGACAGAGACGCACATAAATTATGTGAATCAAAATCGGGTCTACAATCTCCCCCTAAAAAAAAAAAAAAACTACAAAAAACAGAAGTGATCCAAATGTAGCCAATGGCTGAAGCTCTCCATTATAAAATAGAATACCATGATTATGCTTTGAAAGTAAAAATATCAATTATTCTTATAGTTTCAGATCCACTTTAGTAGCAGAAACAAGAAAAGCAGCTTGGGAAAAGGGCTAGAAGAAAACCAGTTCTCTAAATATATAGTGGATCTCAGGACCTTTGTGGGAAGGAGGCCCAATCCACAGGGCCCAAAGGATCTACTGCTAACATCCTAACTTAGGACCCAATTGTGTTTACTTTACTTCTCCAAAAAAAGCAACAGTCACCATAGTTGTTGGAGCCATATTATCCTTTAAGATTTTCAGTTATACAGGTGCAGACCCCTTCTGCAGCCATCACAAAGATACATAGCATACTCTGTATATGTGGGGGGAGGGGATCAGCTATGTAAAAGCTCAGGCAAATGCTACGAAACTATTAACCTGCTCACTGAAAAATAATAAATAAATGCTTAGCGTTTAGAAAACAGCTTATTACACAGCCAATCTTCATGCCATAAACATTAAAACATTTTTGCAGGATACAGTAAAACAAACTTTGCTTAATCAAATTAAAGTATTTTAAAAAATGTAAATGTAGTGCAAATATTAAGATATATAGAAAATAATTATCAGATATCAGTCCCACATCTCTGTAACTGTAATGTGTACTTTTAGTGGATCGATTAGGGTTGATGAGCTAAGTGTGTTAAATCATAATAGTGTAAGAAAATAAGGGTCAATTGTTTTATTTTTTTATTTTGTATCTTTTAAAGTGAATAGATGTAGAGAACTACATTAGAATTGGATTCCTTATTTATTTCTAAATGGTTGGTCACTTTTTCATAATGGTAAGGCACAAAAAATAGAATCAAAAGTTTGTACTAATTTCTCTCATATGATGGGAAGACATAATTTTCTTTTATATAATGACTGGTCATGTTTTCAATGAACACCTCTAAATTATGACCAAACAGAAGAACAGTAGATATATTGCATTTAGAAAAAAAAAAAGTCTCCTTTGGGCTGTTTCTTTCTGTGTTATCTCTTATCAACAACCATCTGTGTGGGTGTTGGGTCACAAGAAAGCACGCAAACAAGCCAAAAACAGAACAAAGGCCACTGCTAAATGAAGCTGGAAGGTCTGCACAGAGGAAATAAACTTTATACTGTTATTATAGATCTTAGCCCTTTCAACAACAGCAAAAAAGGAACATTTAAATATTCACCAGGTCCTTTCCTGTTCTTTAAATATGTCTGAATCTCTTAAACCAGAACAAATATTTGTTACTATTCCATATTTTAGATGAAAAATTTAAAAGCATCCAAAGTTTGAGATTCAGTTATGGGCCGATGATCCTGGCACTGCTCCTTGGTAATCCCCAGAGAAAGCAGATAGATGGATAACGACATGATAATCTTATAGGGGGGTAGAGGACAAATCTTAGATTTAGGAAATTGCCAGAGTACATTCTGGCCTCCAGCTTGATCCCCTGCAGTCAGACAGTACAGCGGCTGTGGGTATTAAAAAGTCTCCAACAGGCATTTGAGGGGAACATGAGGTCATCAGAGGCCATATTTATATTTGAATTTTTTTTTTGTTTTTATCCTCTAAAGCTACATATTACTGAACATTTAAATAAATTATTTATCTCAATGGAAGACAACCATTATATATATCTCAAAACAAAAACAAAAAAACAACCACACAATTTTAGTTAGGTGATTGCTTGGAGAAGTTTTCTTTTTTTTCTTGATTATATCAGAGTGTGGTGGTTTCAGGTCATAAATGTTATAATTCGAAATGCGTCCTTAAAACCCAAAGTAGTAAAAGAGCACCCTCTAGTGTCAATAGAAAGAACAACTCCCATCTCATGACCTCTAAGCAGTGGTTCTCAAACTTTTTCTGTCATTCCCCACTTTGGACAAGGGGGAATTTTCAAGCCCCGCCTGTCCCCATTGCCCCAACACAATACTAATGAAATATGCAACAATCTTAAAATGTTCCAATTTTATTGAAGTAACAAGTAGTATCTAAATACAAACTATCTACATCAAATAACAGCAAGCTCAAAAATAAAGAAAATAAAAATGCAGCTGTGTCAAAATTTGTATCAAGCTCAAAGATAGAAAAACTTTAAGTGCCACTCTGCAATCTGTTAATAAAAGAAAAGAAATGAAATCCATCTGGCAAGACAGGTCTATTTATCCCTGCATCAGTGGCTGCAATGAGCCTGTTTTGCATTGCACAGTTTCTCAAAACGGGGTTGCAGGCTTGATACTGCCACTCTCAAGTCATGCTCAATGTTCAGCTGAGATGGGAGTGGGAGAAGTAACGTTGTTAGAGAGAGACAAAAAGTGGGTAAAAACACCCAAATAATATAGAGCTACTTTTTTCTGTCCATTAATGTTTATTATTATTATTATTTTTGTTTTATTAATGTTTAATTTATTACAATACTAACCCTCCTCCTTTACCCGGTTTGTGACCGGCAAAATGAACCATAAAGAGACACTATTACAAAATATTACAATTTTTTTTTAACTTTTTAAAACGTTTTCTTTTTTTCCCTTGTGGTCCACCAAGGAGCCTACAAATCACGGTACAACATGAACATGCTGCTGTGTGAATCAAACGCTGTTATTTATTTAAGATAAAATATTTCAAATTCAGTTATTTATGATCAACCTGCGCCGTCAATCCCGGCGCATGTGCGCTTTATTTGCAGTCTGGACGCTGAGGGTAAACATGCTGTGTCTCTGCAGCGCTGAGAGGGAGAACAGGGTTGGGATGGAGGAGGCGCCCCACGGCAGCACCTGCCGCTGGAGGACAAGAAAAGGAACGATACGTGCTTTCACGTAAGAGTCTCCAAAAGTCGCTAGATTTGTCGCTAGTCGCTTTTTTGAAAAAGAGTCGCTGGAGGGGTCTGAAATATAGCGACAAAGTCGCTGAGTTGGCAACACACATTATTACAAATAATATGCCGACGTCACGTCAATCATTATTTTGGCACTTCAGTTCCAGGTGAAATGTTTCTCATATCTAATGTTCTTTTAATTAGACTGCATGTAGGCTAGTAATGATTACTTTGTGGGTTTGATTGGTCTAAAAAGCGGCAACATACAGCTATAAGGACAGTTTGCTCTCACACGTTCTACATTTCACACAACACACACACCGGAACTTGGCGCGCCCCACCTGTCACGTCTCAATTCCCCACCAGTGGGTCGCGCCACACACTTTGAGAACCGCGGCTTAATGGATTGTATTTAAATACCTCCTAAACTGACCATACACTTTTTTTTTTTAGGATGTTTTTTTCTGTTGCAGCTCTTAGTTATACTTACATTTTTTTGTTTAAAGGAAACTCGATAGGGTTTTAAATTCAAGTTTTACTTTCTCTTGTCTTCTATACATTTTATTCAGCTACACATTTTCTGGTGTTCTTGTTTTCATTCCTTTCTGTAAGCATGAAGAACAATCTAAATCATGTAGAGCTCACCAACAAATTGATTCAGTAGCGCTCAACTCTGTGATGACAAATCATTTTAAAACCCTTGATAAATATAATGGGTTAGGGTTACTTTTACATTTTTTTACATCACTTTTCTTGCAAAAAAGATCCAGATAAGTTGAGGCTGACGATGGATTGAGGACAAACACAGGAAAGTAAATGTTGGAAACCTTTACAGCCAAATATGTTTTTACAGTTGCAGATCAAAACACAATGACAAACAGCTGAATCAGAGGCATACATAGTGCTGTAATAACTACAAAGTATTAAAGGTGAAAAAGCTAAAGTGTCACTTTGAGGGTTGTTTAGGGATCTCTTTACAACAGAAAAGTGGAGATCTGGGGGTCTTAGGGAAATCCTTATCGGCTGCCGTCTTTCTGATGTTCTTCTCTGTAAGAAGGACTGAAATACAATTTTTCCTATAAGCTAATCCTTTAGATTGGTTGCCGCTCAGGGCTGGTACAGGCTGCGTTCACAGCTGAAACGTTGCAGAGGTCTGTGACATGGCATTATAAATGAAGGTGTTGTTGAAGGGCACAAACTGGTGGCTGATGATCTTGATTGCCTCTTGAGCAGCAGATCCTACAAACATGTTGACATAAAAAGTTAGGGGAATTTTGCAATGCTTTTATTTTAGGGGGATGATGTGTGAGGGCTTCAATGATGAGTTTACCTCCTAAGAATGCAGACACTGTGTGTGGCTCTGCTGCACCGTAACGACAACTGCAGGAATAAAATGATTACTGGTTATTGTCAGCTCTGTTAGTCACTTTGAGCAGCCAGAGAAGCAGTGATTAGCACTTACAACTCATGGATGTAGTCATCTTTGATGTTGACATTGAGGCTATACTCTTGCAGCAGGCTGTTCACACACAGCTTTAGCTTGCTGATGTCCTCCTCCACCTGGTAGTTATACACTCCTTTCAGATAAAAAAAAGAAGAAAAAAATTTTGGGCAACAAACTGAAATAGACGATCCGTCCTGTGATTAAAAATAATTATTTTCTTTCTATATAATCTAATAAATAACAGTCAACACAGTTAACATACTTAAGAAAAGAGGTAGGTCTAATCATAAAAAAAGAGGAGATGAAGTAAAAATGGTGGTACCTGGGTAGCGTGAGTGCAGCTGATAGAAGCGATACACAGCACGGATCATGAGGTAGAATACCATCTCACTGTCTGGACTCTCCATGCAAGACGCTGCGACATTACAATAATAATTGCACTGTGCTGGACTTTCATGACACCAGTAAATCAAAAAGTAAAAAAACAACAACAAACAAACAAAATAAAGATGCCTTACATAAAATCATAAATTTGTCCCAGACTTACTTATTTCATCTTTATTTATTGTATCCACATGATATTCTTCAGCCAAAGAACGACAACGAACGACACGCAAGAAGGCAGCATTTTTACCTACGTACCAATACAAAAGCCTCCAGTTACATATACAGATTATCAATGTATGGTCAGAGATGAGATCAACTGATACAGTTCTTTTTAAGGCTGATGCTGATTATTTTGAAATCTGTAACCAATTCCAGATATTTGCTTCTGCTTTCTCCGTTTATATGGTGAAAGTTACACAATGGTTACAAGAGTTAAACCAAAATATAAGAATAAAAGAATGTTAAGAAATCAAAATGGCTTTTGCTCTACATGAGCCAATATAATGCCAACTGAATGCAAAAATAAATCGGCCACTACATGCACATATCGACCAATCTTTAGGTCAGAGCACATAAACTACGTATGCTAGTTTTACCAATGTCAAATATGTAGGACGAGCATTACAATCAAATTAAAGCAGCATTAAAGCAAATAAGTTAAATAGAGAACAGGGTACTTACAAAACAGCTTGATGTCCTTCTCAGAAATGCTCTCTACCGGCTGTTTAAAAGAAGAAAAATTAAATATAAAGATAATATTCCCTTAAATGTTTTGAAGAAGATATTGGATTAGTAAATGTAGCCATTTGATACAGAAATACATTTTGTTGATATGGTTTAGAACCTGCAGGAAACATGTTCATACATGACATTTCAGCCTCTTTTAAAGACACACTAAAGCTTGCACACTTGTTTTAATCCTTTAAACTGAATACCTTTCCAACAGACTGTAGAAGCCGTTCAACATGCTTGGAAACAGCTGCTGCATCCTGCAGGGACTTTTCCCGGTAACTGAGGTAAATAAAACAAAAACAAAACAGGCAATAGTTAAGCCAAAAAAAAAAGAAAAAAAAAAGAAAAGACAAAGCGTTATTGAGTTGTAGATATGCAGAGCCCACATATTTCCTCACATACACATTTTGGAGATTGATAAACTTCTGAGAGTCAGCTATCATGTCTGGGATTGTTCCTCGCACAGGAAGGCTTCCATTGCCTTCATTGTATACAAACTCTTTCACAGCTCGCAGCATCACCCAGAAGGATGAACTCTGAAAAATATAAAACAGGAAAAAAAAATTACACTCATGACATTTTCAATCTAAAAATAAAAAATAAATAAAAAAATTAATATATGCTTTAGAACTAAAAACAAAACCTGTACTGTGATGTTGCTACACTGTTCACTATTGAAGAGGTCTTCAACAGAACTTGGAATCTGTAAAAACAAATCAATAAAAAGAAGACCAGCTTATAGATTTGAACCCCAAAATAATCACAGCTCAAAATATAGAAGACTTTGGGATCGGACACCTTGGTTTGATTTAATGCAGTGTTGACATTCTTAATAGCTTCGTCAAAGTTTTCTTCATCCTCTGGAACACCGTCGTCATTCTTTATCATCCCTAAAATGGAAACTAACAACGTTTAAATCTCAGTCAGGGGATACATAAGCTGCAACAATCCAGAGGTCCACAGATACCTTCCCGAATCATTTGTCTGAAGGTCTCCTTTTCCTTGTAATTTTTAGGTGGCTGACCATCATGCTGCAATATCAACAAAAACAGCACAATTTATAAGATTACCCACCAAAAAGACTGCTAATCCAGGGGAATGATATCAGAAAAAGAAGTTGACTACCTCACTGAGCCACCTTTCCAGGTATTTAGCAACAATGATAATCCATGGAGTGTGACTGTGATCCTAAGAGAAGATGGGCACTAATTAGTTAGCTAAAATAAAGAATTATAAAAAAATGTCTTTTGTGATATACACACCTTCTTTTCCATGCTTGTGAGGTCATAGGAGTTAATGTGGTTCTTAAACTCATCAAAAGGTTGATCTAATCGGAGATCCTCCAATGCATTGTCTGGATGAGATTCAGTGACTAAAAACAGAGGCAACAATTAAAAAGAGGAAAAAAACTAAACATTTTTTATGTACACATATAATTATAGAGAGTTTAATGTATCAGTAACCAAAAGATTTTCTTTTGACAACTGTAAATGTGAAATAATAGACAGTTCTTAGATAAAGAGGCAGCATAGAAGGTTAGTCACCTGTGTGTTCCTGCACCACTAGCCTCATGTAGCCTAACAGGCCATACGTTTTACAAACTAGAAAAGGTACTGAGGCAGTCCACAGAACAGAGCCGAGCCTCAAACATGTGCTGTTGATGGGCAAGAGGGAGACAAAAACAAATTTGAGCTAAAAGACAGGAAGAAAACAGAAGTCCCTCAACCTTTTCTGCAAAACTACTATGAATAATATATTTTACCTTTCCGGTAACTGGACACCAATGACTATTGTAAATCTGTGGAAAAACTCTGGATCATTGTCCAGAAGCTTGTCAGGACTCTGCAGGGATTAAAAATAGAACCGAGAGGTCAGGCACCAACAGATTGATGTCCCAGATTAAAGTGTTTTATGGTATGCATAGCATCATATTTTTTTTTTAAATCCTGATCTTTCAACATATAGAAACCTCCTCTACTGTAGCACATCTCTGCAGTGCGGCAATCATTATAAATGAAGTTGAGCATTAAAATTTTTCTCTGTTGAATTTATGAAAATGTTCAACATAAAAGTCAAACCTCCTCGACAAAGTTTCCAGACACGTCGCTGTTCAATTCTTGTAGAAGCTCTGTGGCAGCCTGTGCTCTATTCTGCAACAGAAAAGTAAGTCTCAACTTAAAATATTTGTTTCCATCATTTATAAGATGATGAACTAATGAATATTGATGCATGAATGGAGAGTTATGAGGACAAGGAATAAAATTAAATAAGTGACAAGAACAGTTTTAGGTATGCCAACCTTTCCAATGCTGTCGCTGCTGAGGAAAAAGCTGCAAGACAAACAGGTTAGTTGTTGAAACAAATCTGACATTACTAATTTCAAACATAGATCATCTATAACAAACAAACTCGTACTTATTTCCTACATCCTCCCCAGCGACTGTGTGTCCATCTACTATGGTGAATGCTCCAATCCCTGTTAAACATAGAAGTTCAGCCAATTAGAAAACTGATCATCCTTCAGCAGCATCTCACATCAGTGAATTACCTACTTACCTGGAAGAACCAGATTCTTCAGAATCTCTGTTCCAGTGGCCGTGGCATTAATGAGACATACATGTGCATTCTCCAGAGACTCTTGTCCATGGTCACCCCACAGACTGAGGGTGAAAAACACAAGAAAATGGCATATTTTACTAAAAACAATCACGTCCAGTCGCTGCACCTTGCAAAAACAACAGTGATAACACCTCGTCTTGTAATCATACGTATTTTCTACCATTGAATCAGTACATGCAGATTAAAAATAGGAGACAGTTGGTTGCAGAAAAGCTGTTTTACCTCATTAAGACCGAAATCATGACCAAAACATATTTAAATTAATCTCAAAATCAACGATGCTGAGGTAAATTAAACAAGCTAATGCTAACACGGAACTTCAAATTCTCTATCGACCTGCTCTAGTAAGATAATAAATATTAAATATATTGACTGACAAAACAAATCCAGTTTCTTAGTAAATTAGCAAGAATCTTTTAAAACTCACCGAAGCTGTCTATCGTATTTTTGTTCCTTGGAGCCTTTGGTAGCTGCTGCCATGATAGCTTTACAAAGACTGACGTAAATGGACGTAACTTTACTTCCGCAACGTTAGATTCGACACAAATGTGGCGCGCAGTTCGTATGCGCACTTTCGATAGAAACCAGGGTTGAAATTACTAATGAAATAGAGAACATATATTTTAAAGAAATGTAGAGAAACATAAGTTGTGATTGATTCAAAACACACTTTCTTGTTGTAAACATCGTTTAAAAGGTTTGATGTAGATGGGTGGTTGTTGTTATATTTATGTTGCATATCCCCATGAAAATTGCTTTGATTCAAAATCTCTTTTATTGGTTTTCTTAAAGGAATAGTACACCCAAAACATGATTAGCCTTCATTTTCTACTCACCTCCATGCTGAACAACACTCTGGAGTACTTTTTTGATATCTCAAATGCATCTGGAGATCTGGGAGGCTTCTTGCTGTCTGCTGACATTCAAATAATGGAGGTCCATGGCGCCCGAGACAGAAAGGTCCATAAAAGTCCACAAAAACGTGTCAATATTCCTCCATACTGCTCGTCCAATGTAATCCAAGTGTCCTGAGTGGGTAGCATCCAGAATTTACTCGAAACGAAGTCATTTAGAATGTTTTTAGAGCATAAACAGTAGTGTATAGGATTTCCTAATAGCGCCCCCATGCGCGCTCACGATTCTACGGAAGCCGGCAGACCAAACCGGAAGAAAGTGCGCATTCAGCGTCTGGTCTGCCGATAATGCAAGCGTAGAAGAAGAAATGTGCTGTTTACCTGTGCAAAGAAAGAAACAACGAAAGAAAAATGTCTGAGGACTTCAGTGTTGAGGAAGAGCATGAGTTCTTTGCCGAGCTGAATGCGCTGGTTTGGTCTGCCGGCTTCCGTAGAATCGTGAGCGCGCATGGGGGCGCTATTAGGAAATCCTATACACTACTGTTTATGCTCTAAAAACATTCTAAATGACTTCGTTTCGAGTAAATTCTGGATGCTACCCACTCAGGACACTTGGATTACATTGGACGAGCAGTATGGAGGAATATTGACACGTTTTTGTGGACTTTTATGGACCTTTCTGTCTCGGGCGCCATGGACCTCCATTATTTGAATGTCAGCAGACAGCAAGAAGCCTCCCAGATCTCCAGATGCATTTGAGATATCAAAAAAGTACTCCAGAGTGTTGTTCAGCATGGAGGTGAGTAGAAAATGAAGGCTAATCATGTTTTGGGTGTACTATTCCTTTAATTTTTCAATAAAAAAAGGAGTACAAAACTGATATAGTATTTAAAGGTGAGTATTAGTGAAGACATTAGATTAAAGTGATCACAGTGAGAGAGAAAAAAAAAATAGAGTAAAATGAATAAATAAATAACAAAGAAGAAAAAAAAGAAAGAAAATTCCAAAGGAATTCCTCCCCAATAATGCCAGGAAAAAAAGAAAAAGATTCTTCATAATGAAATATAGAAAATAAATTACATTAATTCAGGTAGATTGTGATTTCAATCCCTTGTCAGCCAGCCACTGAGGGTGACTAGAGGTACACGGATGTAAAAACTGAAGCATCAAACCAAAGACACAATATAGCTAATTTGCAAAAGAAGTGTATCATCAATGTAGCCTACATATTATGTCAGTTTAGAGACATTGCTTTACCTTCCTGTGGCTTTTTGGTTTAATTTCCATGGCTGATTTCAGCAAATTTTAAATGTTCAATTAGCTGCTCTAATACTTTTATTATTCCATGTTAGGAATTGGAAATAAACCTATAACTGTCACTGCATTTACTATCTGATAATCATTTTTATCCTTTTGATGGTCTTTTGTATGACACACCATATGCTACATCTCTGTTTCAGGTTTTGATATGATAACACTAGCTTTCTGAATATCATATACAATATTTTTTTTATTGAAAACCTTTTTGATTCCAGGCTGCATAATGGTCCCATTATCAATCTGAAACCTCTGATGTTATACAACACATGTGAAATGTAACTGATATGGGCCATAAACGTTTTAAACATTTTGAAACTCTTGTTGAACATACCTAGGTCCAGGTAGAAACCATGATGAGTAAAATGCAAATGGTTCCCCCTAAGAGTATTCAAATGTCTAACGATAAAAGTTGGTGGGGATACTCTAAGGGTGGATGCTGATGGACCTACAGCTACTCAACCCAAACGCTTTCAATAGGGTTTATATTTTCCAAAAATGAGCTCAAACATATATTTCTTGAATGCTTTACTATTGTTGAGAACACAAGAGAACCACAATACATTTGTGGTATTTATAGTTATAGACAGATGCCTGCCATTAGTGCATTATTTTATAAAGGGCTCAAAAACAATGTATAAAGAATTATGAATAACAGCCGATACCAGTGCCAACATCAATATATCCTGCATCCCTAGTTTGGACACAACTTCCCTTGTATGTATGGCTTCATTTTAAGCTGCATAAGTGATTATTCTCCTTCACAAGCAGCAAAATCTAATTTAGAAATTTTTGTCATCGACAGCCAATGTCTATATATTGAACCTCATATTTCAAAAATCATTTATACACTGATTTGTATTATTTGTGCTTTAATTCTTGTAGGTTTCTTATACTTTAATGTTAGAGATGGGAAGTAACGAAGTACAAATACTTTGTTACTGTACTCAAGTAGATTTTTCTGATATTTTTACTTTACTTTACTACTTATTTTTTATGGCGACTTTTTACTTCTACTCCTTACATTTTTACACAAATATCTGTACTTTCTACTCCTTACATTTTAAAAAATTGGCTCGTTACTTTAGTTTTGAATAATTTCAATGGAGTTACCGTTATTATTTTTCACGTCATCAATACCAAATTCAATCTGATTGGATGGGAATCTACGTTGCATTTGACACACCACTACAAGATGAATCGACAGATTCGGCGGTATTCATTGGCGGCAAATCATTGCAGCTTGGTGGCGGTGGCGTTAGCATAGTAGTATGGACGACGAGATGATTGAAAATTAACACAACGGAGATCTAGTCCTATTGGCAGACATCCATTTAAAATGTAGGCAACGGCATGAAAAAAGTGATTTCTACTTTTCAGGGGGGGATCTAGAAAAATATTTATGGGGTGGCAAGAGGGGGGCAGGAATTTTTTAGGGGTGGCAACATATGGCATTTGTTTACACTGAATTTAATCACAGTTATCACAGTTTGGTGAGAATAGTATGTACAGTACTAGTGTTTCATGTGAAACAGTTCATATTAATAATACATCGTACAATGAGATCCCACTTAATAGGAGATTGAAGAATGATAACACTACTTCTAGAGGGGCATTATGACAGGAAAGGTATTAAGGTAAGACACAGGTGCTGAGTCGCAGATGTGTGAGATTGACTGTCAGAGAGGCAGCTTTGCAGCATTTGCACAAGAAGAAACTATAGAAAGAAAAAGTTACCCATCAGAGATCTATGGACTGAGCTGTACTAAAGTGAGCATTACTACACATTAGAAATAAATGGGTCAAGGCACCCGAACAAGGTACTGGACATCTATGTAATGTTTACCGGTACTCTGAACACAGATTTACCCCATTTGTTCCTCAGTAACTTGACATACAGCAGTTAAGGCAACATGAAAGGGACATTTCATGCATGTTAATATGCTGTAGATAGAGCTGCATATGGAGGACCAACTCTGCCATATTTAAAAATAAATACAGAAATAAATAAATGCTCAATAAATAAATGAGCATACAATTAATTGCCACCAAAAATTCAATCAACAAATAAATGTAATTAGAAATTATATTATAATGGCAGGCAGAAATGTTAAAAGGGCAGGCAGAAAGAAATAACGGCGAAGAAATAACTAGGGTAAAAAAATACAAAGGAAGAATAAAACAGACAAAAATATGATAACATGCACATAAATAAATACTTAAAAATATAAGTAATGAAAAAATGAAGTTGAAGATAATAAATGACAAAAAAACAAATAATGTAAATATTAAAAAGGCAAAGAAATAAAGAAGCCAATTAAAAGAGTTATATACCTTTATGACTAGCTGTATAATTTAATTTTCTACTTACATTTATTTAAAATGCAAAGCAGAATGCTGCATCTTTAGACATGGAATATTCAAGCCATGGGCAAGAACTGTACCACTCCCTGTGGAAGCTTCTTTTTGCTGCTCCATGTTGTGTCTTTGGAAATGTCTTTAAATCAGGCTGCACTGCTGCATCCCCTTTGCATTTTGATATATCTTAAAAAACAAAGAGTGCCAAATATGATTATCTAATGCAATTGAACTGTACATGGACATAGCTAATGCATATGTGGCATTACATATATTATCCCTCTGTATGGCAATTTATATAGAAGAAGAATAAAAACATACCATGTGGTCCAGGGAGAATTTCAGGTCTACCCTCTTCCTCTCTGTCATCTTCCTCCTCCTCCTGATCATTCCCTGTGTCTGTTCCTCTCTCTGAATCTGGAGCCTCCTCTTCATCTCTCACTGATTCTTCTTTTTCCTCAGCTCCTGCACTTATTTCCTCATTTCCTTCACTCATTTCTGTGTCTCCTTCATGTATTTCCTCTTCTTCGTCACTTATTTCTGTGTCTCCTTCAGTCTTTTCCTGCACTGACCCTCCTGGGCTCTCCATTTTACTGCCTTCTCCCTCATTTCCCTTGCGCTCTTCCTCTTGTATACTTGTTGGAATTTTCTTTGCAAAAAAGCTGGTTATATCCCCACTTTTAGCCTTCCTTTTCATGGCTAGGCCTATAAAGTAATATTTGCATGCAAAAGTCAATATGTGAAAACCTCTGGTTATCCTTGTATTTCATTAGCCTACACTGTAGGGCCATGGAACTTATAAGTTAAGTAGCATATACTACAATACCTATATATATATATATATATATATATATATATATATATATATATATATATATATATATATATATATATATATATATATATATATATATATATAGGTATTGTAGTATAGCCTATATAACAAATATAAATGAGAAAGATTTATCACATTCACACACCAGTTATGTTTAGACTACTTAATTCTATTGTATTTGTTATTTCCCCAGTTATAACCTGGTTTCATTGCTGCGATATCTGAGAGGAATTGGATTTATAGGACTGCTCAGCTAATCAAATCAACACTGTAGCCTGCGTGTTGTAACGTAACGGCGGCATAACGGTTACCATCAGTAAATCAGTTAACGTTATGGATACAAAAAATATTTTGTATTTTTTTATTAAGCTGTTTTTTTCTTAACATTAATTAAAGGGAAGAGTGCTCTTACAAATCCCGAGGGAAGGATTTGACCGACACACTCGCTGTTTTTGCTAATCGTCTTTAGCAGATATTGACTACAAATGTAACTTTTAAGTGAAACGTGTGTTTAAACTACACCTGGTAAAAGTCACTGGGACACCTCAGTCTCTCCAGTTGGTTTGCACACTACAGAGCCACCGCGACGCTGCAGACTGTGTGTGTGTGTGTGTGTGTGTGTGTGTCAGACAGACTGAGCGCGAACTGCGCTCTGCACGTTTGAATCAGGGGCGTAGCTAAGTATTTGAGGGACGGTGGCAAATAATACATTAAAAATAAAAAACTAAATTGCAACCTTTTGGTAAATGTATTGTTTTGAGAAGCCTGTGAACATAGTGGCAGGTTGTTTTTACAGGTACAGCTTTTGGATCATCAAAGTTAGGGGGGCAGCTGGGGGGGGGGGGGGGGGGGGGGCAAGGCTCTATATTGGGGGGTCAGCTGCCCCCCCTTGCCCCCCTGTAGATCCGCCCATGCTACTTTTACTTTTATACTTTAAGTAAATTTACAAGCCTGTACTTTTTTACTTTTACTTGAGTAAAGAAGTTTAATCAGTACTTCCACTTTTACCAGAGTATTTTTTAACACAAGTATCTGTACTTTTACTCAAGTACGGAAAGTGAGTACTTTTGCCATCTCTGTTTAATTTTAAGTCTGTGTCCTGTGAGTCTGGCTGTCTTTGGGTTGCAGTATTTCTGAGTCTCGTTGAACTACAAAAAACAAAATTTTATGTTGAATTTTATTATAGCATTGCATATTGTTTCTTGTAAACTTGGAGATATATTTTATTGCATGTTGCATATCTCAGTAAATCTGTTTCACCTTTAAATCAGCATCTGTCCCTAATTGTGTCTCAGCTCTGCTTAAAAACAGATTTATTAACCGGTCTACCAATATGATGATGCCTAAGAGAATCATTTTCAGGATCTCTAGAAGTTCTGCAGCCTGATTCTCTGTTCAATAAGAAAACAAGAGAGATGTGTTCATTTTAATCTGTAATGAGTATGGTCCTGAGAAGCCCAACTTTTTTAACTCATATAAATGTACAATCTGTTGCCATTTTTAGCTGAAAAAGGTCTGTATGTGTAACTAACGGATTTTTGGTGGCATCTCTGTTTTTTTTTAACCAACAAGTCTCCTAACTTTTACTTGAACATATATCGGAGTAACTGCTGGTTAATATTCACTGAGTGCTGCTGCGAATTTATGTTAAAACGGCTTGCCATACAGGGTCAGACGAAAACGACTGTATGATAATATGGCTTACCATATTCGGTATCACTTCTCCTCCTCATAGGGTTGGCAGTAAATAGCGACCCCAAATGATAATATGTCCCAAAGCTACAGATCCGATGATGTCTCACCGAGAGGTGGGACTGGAGATCAGCGGGAGAACGAGGAAAAAACACGGACTGAAAACAATCTGAACACAGACAGCTGCACCCAGTTACTGATGGAAAGGGGGAAAAAAGTGGAAATTATTGGCGGGGACTGTCCCCACCATGCCCAAAGTTGGTGGGGACATGTCAACACCAGTCCTTCAGAAAGTTACGCCTGTGATTGAAATAAAATGTAAAAATCAGTTAACTTTTTTTTTTTTTTTTCAGTGGCCCTAATCCTCTTCCCTGCTATAAAACAATTAGGAACAGTAATCCATTCAAAATAATCACAAAGTTGAAACTACTTACTATCATACTCTAAATGATCAAAAAGAAAATCATTGAGCAAAGTTTCTTAATTCTATTTTTATTCAGCAAAAATCTGTATCTATTTATATTTCCTCAGCCATTTTTTTCTCATTTGTTTTTATCTGCGTTTTAACTTTAATTGTCCTTAATTTTCTCCCAGGAAGATGTCGTGCAAATCAGAAAACTTTAAATTTTTGTTGTTACCTACCCTTTCAATAAAATAAGTATAACATGAACAAGCAGGGAAAAATAAAGTAGCAGGCGGTTCCAGTCCATAGGGAGAGGTTACTGATTGACATGTGTCTGTGGGCGTGAAGGGGGGCGTGTCACCATGGTAATTGTCCGTCCCCCTTAATAGACCTAATCAATACCTGCTCCAGCTGATCTCAGGGCCATTCATTAGAGCTGCAAACAGGACAATGACAGGGCACCGCTGGGGATACGGGAAAGACGACGGTAAAATGTTTGATCAATCAGACGCAGTTTTTCTGAAGCGCATGTTGCTTAGTTTTCCCTTGCTTTCTCCTGTTAAAGATGTCTGTTAATGCGGGATTAACTTTTAAAGGTTGGCTGCTGTCACCTTAGCTTGTGGAAATGACTGATCTGTCAGATTCCTTCATATTTCTTGGATAGATTTTGAGGTTTTACCTTGTATGTAGTAAAGGAAAAGGAAATAAGTGGCTTTGAAATAACTGCTATTTTTCACGATCAATGCATGTTGTTATTTGTGTTTTGTGTGGGGTTTTTTTTGTGTATAGATTTAAATGCAAAGAGTAATTTTATTGTGAAAATCCAGCTTTATTCCCCTCCTGTCATCTACAGGTCCTTCAGCATGGCATACACACTACCCAGCTGCCAAAGGAAGCCGCCAGTCCCCCATTGACATCATACCTGATGAGGCCAGACGTGACAGCAGCCTGCGTCCTATTTTCCTGGGGTATGACAGGTGCACATCCCTTAACATTGCCAACAATGGACACTCTGTGGTTGTGGAGTTTGATGACTCTGATGATCGCTCAGGTAAGAATCTTATCTGTTGACACAGCTTCCACTTTAGATTATGTGCTTTGCAAGGACAGAAGATTGCAAGCCTTGGTGATTTTAATGGTGGTCACAGTTCAGAGATAATGTTACTCTGTTATCTGTTGAGGAAAATGTGCAGTAAAGGGGGAAAAAGGGACACTATATTTAGGAAAGTGTAAACCAGTTGACCAGCTTACTATAATAAAAGGCTAAAAAAAAAACTCTGATTATGAGGCAGGAAAGTGCAGCTGGCACTTTATTTTCTCAAGTTCCGTCTGCTGGACAAAAGATATAATAACCTGTCAGATCTCAGTGGTTATTATGACAATGCTTGTTTTTATGACTGGGTGGATGTATGATGGCCAACCTGCAATCATCATAAGTGGAAAAGCAAGGAATTTTTTTTTACAGACTTTCTACTAAATGAGCAAATATCTAGGGAAATAACAGATTAAAGAAAATACATGTGAGGAAACACAACATTAGAATTAGCTGCACAAATCCTCTGAAGTTCAATTGCTTGCAGGTTGTTTTGTAAAGTGACTTATGATTGGGAAAGTGACCTGTTTGGCGAAAAGATAATGGCAAAGATGGATCGCAGGAGTAAAATTATACAAGTCTAAGAATAAATGGAATACATTTGAGCCTTTAACACAAAATAGTTTAGTTTATAGTCTTTTCTAACCATTGATAGCCTTATCTAGGGCCAGGACATATCTATGGTAGATACTATTCAGTGGAGCACTTTAATCGATCCTTCTTTATCGATCCAAGCAATAAATATAGCCAAAAAAGACATAGAAAATGCATTTTTCTTTAAAGCTTAGTTTAAATCATGAAAGCAAAAACAGCATTTTTTTGCATTTGAAATTTTTTGACACTCAGCTTTATATTCACATGAATGTTGAGGTTCGTTGAAGCTTTTAAACAGCTTTGAATAGTTTCAAACAAGCTTTTCAATTAATCTTTATTTTTTCAGATTTTGTCCACTTGATTCTTGTATGTAATGGCTTCAATTTTTATAAATGATTTTATCCTCTATGTTGTCTCTGAAAAATTAACTGGAGTATTCAAACTGTTCCTGTAAAAGTGGAACAGAAGTAGTTCTGGTTTATAATGTTGTATAAGGGATCTGCCAATGTCAAATCACAAGCAAATTGGAAAAAGAAAAAAAATCATACAAGGAAACCAATTTGTGTTTAGATTCTTCTTGTTGATATGTCATTTGGTCAGTCATAGTATTTTTTTTTTCTTTTTTGTACAGAATAGTTGGTAAAATACGAGTTCCTCTTAGACTCACTGTATTGTCATGTGGCAATTTTATGATACATCCACAGCCTCATAGAAGTAGTAAACATTTGTCGGAAAATGAGATTTAACCACCACCTGCTCTGATTGCCTGTTAATAGTTGCAATAATTATCAATATGTTAAAAACAAAAACAAATAATTTTTCTTTTCCTAAGGGATTTGGAGAAGGTCTCAGCATTTAATTGGCTTTGAAGTATGTTTTCAACCTTTTTCATTAATACTCACAGAACAAATAATTATTTGGCAACAGTATGAACAAGGAAGTAATTAGAATGCCACAGATTACAGACCTAGCAAATCTGCACCAGTGAGGTGGAATAAAAAAAGTCTTTATGACTGAGGATCTAACTTTTATAGAAATACTAAACTCAAGATAGTTGGGCATTGATGACAAAAATATGCAGGCCAGCAACACGTAGGTATTGAAAGACAATGTCCTAGGTCGAAGTAAACAACTCTCATGAAATATTGTGAGACAATATTGTGAAAAACAAAAAAACAACAAAAAGAAACGGGTCTCATTTCAATAACATCTAATGGCATGCTCTCATATTACACCACAGCTATGGTTTACAACTATCTTTTCTTTGGTAGGTGAGGATGGACTCATGCCCTGCTTGTATTATCAAATGTTTGGTTGGTAGGCTTACTTCTGATTTTCTGGGAGGAAAAATGCACTGCTTTAAGGGTGAAATGATATGGATAACAATGTTCTTCTTGTCAAGTTTTGGAACATATGTTCCAAGTATGATTTTTTCCGTTTTCTTTTAATCCTCTGATTGCTGCAATCTCTGGTTCTAGAGGCCTTTTTGTCTGCTTCTCTATTGGTTATTTTTGAAAAATTTGGTGAAGTTTAATGTGTGTTACCACTCTGACTCATCCGGCTGTGTGTAATAGAAGGCGCCAAGAGGTTTTTGACGATAGCTACTGTAGTACCGGAGGCGTTTCTTTTACTCTACAAGAGTAGGAGTGTGAAGGTACAGTATTTGGATGGTGATTTTCAATTTATGTTTCTATCTTCCTTCTTGCTGCCTACAGTGATTCAAGGAGGCCCTCTTGAGCACCCTTATAGACTGAAGCAGTTTCATTTCCACTGGGGTGGAAAAGGTTGCGAAGGATCCGAGCACACTGTAGCAGGAGTTGGATATGCATCAGAGGTCAGTGTTCAGTTTTTTTGGTGGCTTATATCATAAGGTAACACCAGCTCACTTGTATAGTTTTAAAGGTGAAAAATATTTGAAAATATTTAGTTCCAATTAAATCCTGTGTATGCATGACTTTTTTTGAAAAAAAAAGAAAAGAAAAATATATATTTCAATAGATGATGTAGTGAAGGCCCATATCCATTTAGCTGTCAAAAGATGGTTTTATTTTACATTTGTTTTCTTCATGTTTCTTTCTTTAGCTGCATTTAGTTCACTGGAATGGCTACAAGTACAAGACATTTGAAGAAGCATCAACTGCTCCAGATGGTCTTGCTGTTCTTGGCATCTTTTTGGAGGTACAACATTTATTAAACACACAGTTGTACTGTCTATATGAGCAGTTGTTTTTGAAGGTAACGTGCGTTTTGTAAATTTTATAAACACACATTCTTTTGTGTGTTGGCTTTAGGTTTTTGCAATATAAAGTAACTTTGTACTTTTAGTTATTGTATTATTTGAAAAAGCCAGCCTAATGGCTTTTGCAGCTTGCAGGCTAGAGTGGCAAATAGGGAAACTAATTTAATGCCTTATGAATAATTTACCATTATCTAATGTCGTTCATGACTTGTTAAATGACATGTCCTCAGATCAAAATGTAATTCACGTGATTTTATTTGCAAAGCTTTGAGACATCACTTTTACTTTCAGACTTTAACCCTTGATCCCACGGACAATCTTTGGGATGTGTGGCATGACAGTTGCAATCCCATTATACAGAGTGAATGAGATTAAAACTGTATCAAAAGGATATATTTTATTAAAACATAATCAGCTAAATTTACAGTGTATGTCAGTTTGGTCTTTAGCAAATTAAGTAAACAATAATTTCTCTAAATTTGAGAACCTGTCTTTTCTGTTAGCTAGGTGACGACCACAGATGGCTCCCCATGATTACAGATGCTCTGTACATGGTTAAATTTAAGGTGAGTTAAATTTATTCAATACTCTTTCATCAGTGCATTGTAAAAGATTGTTGTGAAAGTTGTTGCTGTCTACCTTTAAAACTTTATTTCTTTTTTCCACAGGGAAGTGCCATAGATTTCAAAGGTTTTAACCCCAAGTGCCTCCTACCCAGCAGCCTCCACTACTGGACTTACCTGGGGTCACTGACCACTCCTCCCTTGCATGAGAGCGTCATCTGGATTGTCCTGAAGGAGCCAATTGTTGTCTCAGATAAGCAAGTAAGTGCTGCAGCTTTTTAAAAATAACCACCAAAAAACATTTCCAACAGCTTAATTAAAACCACTGGATGTTGGCATACCTTTAGGTTCTGTATATGTTTTCCTTCATCAAAATAAGAAAAGTAACAATAAGGATTTGGATATTAATTAAAAATGTTGGACTTGTCCGTTTATCTTAATGTGAGAAGTGGAAAATCAAGCCCTTACATTATCGCAAATGAGATTATTTGTTGCTGCTGAACATTGAACCAAAATATCATATTGTAATGTCTTCATTCACGTGCAAGACATTTGCAGCCCTAAACACAAGTCCAATAAGGAAATCTGATTAATGCAGGAGGAGGGAAGGGGCAATGAGCTATATAGTTTTAAGAGAAAGTGTTGTAGCAACCATTTACACTTTTTTTTTTTCCCCTCTCTTTCTAACATCTGGTGTGGTAATATTTACTGCTAGAAATTAAAAGTTTGTTGCTCTCCTTACAGCGTAATATCATTTTCACACTAGGAAATCTTTTCAGGATCTCATTTAAACATCAATTAGGAATTTGATCTCATCCCAATTCACAAGTGTGTGAAAGCAGTCACTTATTTTCATAAATCTCTGAAACATGGTAAAACTGATCTACAACATTTTAACTTCATACTTCAAATCGCCTATAACTCTGAATCAATAAAAGAACATGTTCAATTACATCCTTTAAATAAATAAACATACAATTTAACACCAATTTTCATCTTAATTTTAAAGTTACATCAACTGAGGTTTTTATCGTGGGTGAATTTTTATTTGAAGTTCTTATTGCTTAAAACTGCAAATTGTCTTGGTCTTTGTAGATTGATTGACAAAGATGTACAGGATGTAAGCTTTAACATTTAACATGTTACTATAGCAACCTAACTATTTAGCTCAAAACCTGTAGAATAGAAGTACATGTCATTTGTTTGTCCTTCTGTCTTCATGTACAGCTGGGGATGTTCCGAATGCTTCAGTTCAATAGTGAAGAGGAAAATCAGAGGACGCGCATGGAGAACAACTTCAGGCCTCCCCAGCCTCTCAAAGATAGGATAGTACGCTCCTCTAATTAAAGTCACCTCTGTACATATCCACCTGTAGGCAAACTTTCATTGGAGTCCGCTTTAACTATTGTTTAAGTAGCTTTATTGATTAATTTTGCACATTGTAATGTAATAAGCTTTTCTGCCAGAACAAAGCTATTGTTTATTTTATGTTTTATCTGTGGGTCTAAAATCGCAGTAACAGAAATTACTTGTCAAAAAAAAAAAAAAAGAAAGAAAAAGAAAAAAAACATACCGGTAAGTTTAAAATCCAATTGCTCTCTGCAGCAGTGAAACACTGACAACAAGCTGCACAGCCTGAGCCTAAATGGTTCTGTTAGTAAGAGTGGACATGAATTTCTCTGGTTCTTCAAATTGTCTGACAATTAGTTTCCACAAGGGCAATTTTTAGTCTTTGACAATAACGCATATGATTTGTAATATCAGCAGCAGTTGTTCCATGTTTAAACTGCAGTCTACTGGTTTCATATTTCCAATTTGCATGAGGATTAGCAAACACTATGAAGTTAACCTATATTCTTGTCTGACATTTGGAAGTTATGATTGGTCTATGTAATGATTGTGCAAACATTTAGTTTATGGGTGCCTCCAAAATTTTTTAGATTTATCATACTGAAATTTACATTGAGATTAATAAAATGTTAAACCTTTTGTCAGTTTCCCTTTTTCCTTTAAGGATCTTTTTTTCAGATTTTTGAATTAATGCTTTTTGATTTTTGAAAGATGATTGTACATTTCTGAGCCCCAATAGTAACAAAAAAAGAACTTGAGATATATTTCTAATTAGAAAACTCCATTGAGGTTCCTATGTTACCTTTTTTTAAAGGAATCTTCTAGGTAAAGCAGTATTTATTTAGTTTAAAGAGAGCCATTCAAGCAAATGTTTAATCTCCTTTATAGTTGCAACAAGAAACTGCACCGAGTTCAAGGTAATCAGTAGCAAAGTGCAAACCCTCAAGGAAATATGTGACATGGATAGACTGCTATGAATAACTTACTAAAGAACTTTCCTTGCTTGACATTTAAGGGATCTATTGATGGATTAAATTAAAAATAAAGAGTCAAAGGAATAAAAAAAAGTGTATATATTTCTTTACCAAAAATTATATATAAAAAAGGAAAGCTTTTAACTGGGGGAAAATGGGAGCTTGGGGCAAACACAATAAGCAAACAACATATAACTGACCAATGAAAGGGATGTTGTAAAGGTATATGAAAAGGCTAATTAGAGGACTAGAAATGCAAAACACACTGGAATTTGGCAAAATGGCAATGAAGGAAATGGGATACTTAATATGTAAATGATTAGCAAAACACAAGGAGTATATTTCTGCTCTTGAGAAGGAACTGGTGGTTCAGTCCAATAACCTTTCAAATATTATGCTGTTCTGAGCTTTTACTGCTGCCTTGTTTGGCCAAACCTCTAAAAGACTCTAACTCAGACATGCCCATAGTCGGTCCTGAATGTTTTAGAGCTCTCTCAGCTTCAGCTTCAGCTTAGCAGCTGAATCTGGTGATTGCAGTTCGGCAAAGCCTGTTAATCAGTTATGAATTGAAATCGGCTGTGCTGGAGCAGGGAAACCTCTAAAACCTGCAGGACAGCAGCCCTCTTTTGGGCATGCCTGGTAAATAAATACACACTGAAAAGACAACACAAAGGTTTGAAATCTGTTAAAAATAAGTAAACTACATTTTCTTATTTAAAAACAGAACTAATGCATATGAAGAACTCAAACATTCAACTTAAGTGTCATTGTTGGTAAAAAAACAAATGGAAGCAGAAATGCAAAAGCAATATTTAATGAAGAGGCAAGATGGTTAGTACATTTTTTATTTAGTCTAGCTCTTACAGGTTTATATGTGAAATATTTAAGGGTTAATTGAGAAATAGAATGTGGAAACCCTGATGTTTGAGGAAAATTTGGGTAATAAATTCCAGAAGGTTTATTTTTTTATTTTTAAATACTTGGATTAGAACTTTAAGCTGATGGTCTTCCCTGGCGCATGTTGTGGTGTTATGGCACCATAATTGCACAAGATGGACCAGATTTAGGCAACCCCTGTGGTATTTCTTTTAAAACCCCATATGGAATCACACCCATTTTGTGTTGTGTATAAGACCGTTGAGTGGTTTTTGTTGGGATTTTTTTTTTCAACCTTTAATGAAATGGGTAAAAGTGGGACAACACCAGGGTCATTAGGTTATTGCAATGGTGCTTGACTCCAAGGAGGTTTAGGTAAGGATCTCCCTTTTTTTAAGCTGGATTTGGTTAATCAAACCCTTTTCACGATCAGCTTCATCACTTGCAGTATCCTTCTTCCTCTTGGTATTAATAGACAAATAGGTCATCTATGTAGTATTTAGAACCATTTTCATGCACATGTTGAGAATTACTTGTATGTTTCTTAGGCAATAAAATGTTGAGGAAAAGAGTAACTAACAAAATTAGAGATTTAAGACTTAAGAGATCTAGTTAAAACATTACACATTTTATTCATATCCTGAGTTTTCTCAATCTACGTCTTGCTTAAACCGAAATGGTTTTGTTAAGTCTCTTTTTACAAAAATATACAGAAATCTATTGCCTATATATTTTTTATTTTTTTTTTTGGGGGGGGGGGGTTAAAAAACTCATCACAGCTCCTTCTTAACCTACAGGAGAAAATATCTTAACCTACAGGAGAAAATATTGCAGAAGATCAGGGTATCCATTGCAGACAAACACAGTGACTAAGAAAAGGAAATTGGAAAAAAATAAACTCTATAAAATTTGTTATTAGAAAAAGAGGGATCTTTGTTCAAAAATAAAGAGAACATAGTAGAAAAATATCTAACAAAATCGAAAGAAGAATTCTCTGAATATTGATTCACGAGTCCCTCTAATTATAGAAATTTTAAGACCGAATATAAATTTTTAAATAAGTAAAATATTTTCATGAAACTTAAATCAGAGATATAATCCCCATGTTATGCATGGGTAAATGTTTACAAATGTATATATATTTTTCCTTTTGTTGGCATGCAGTTCAATGCAGATACTCATATCTATGTGTTAGCTTCTTGTTTTGGGAGTTATATGCATCCAAAGCATCTAAATCAAAGGATCTATACATTTCAAAAAGGATTATGTTAATCTAGATGGAGTTGTGTCCTGTTTTTAATCAACTTTAAAGTCAAAGCTAACAAAGAAACACTTCATCTCTTAAAAAGCATGGCATATTTTTGTGCAACAGCATTACTGGTCCAGCAGAGGGCAAGATAGTTTCAGGTTTGGGGAGTGAAAACTAACATTTTGTCAAAATATAAATCTGGAGATAAGAACTTGGGAATAAAGCAGGGACGTGGCTAGACCTATTTTAGGGTGGCTGAAGTCATCCCTTCGTTGGTATTAGCCACCCCATAATTATTTTGCGATTTGTATTGTTATTTTTTTATTTATTGATTTTTTTTCCATATAACCCCAAACAATTGCAGTAAAGCACTGAAAACGAGCCACCAAGAAGGCAAGTTAATCTGAAGATAAGTTCCTGTTAGTTTATTTACAAACACAATTATTTATACAATTATTAATATCGTTAGGATATTCATTTCCTTCATTGGCTCCGCGTCCAGCGTCACGTCACGTGGTACACGGCCATCAACTGGACCATAGCAGCTGTGCAGTGCAGCAACAGCGCGCCCTTTGAATCTCCACACAGTCATCGAGCTTGATTAGGAAAGTTATGGTTGCGTGCAGATACATACGGTGAGTTTGCCATTTGATGTCAGCGGTTTACATTTTCTTCACTTTACCTGGAGTGAGGAAAGAGACAATATAGGCCTAATAGCTTGTCTGATTCAGTAGGAATTACGTTACCATGGTGAACAAAGTCAGTGGTGTGGGAAAACACGATGTTGTTGTAGCCTACTAGCATCATTATAATAGTTTTGTCACAGGAGCAGTGATGGGCAGTAGCGCCGCTACATGTAGCGAAGCTATTAGTTTAACTACATTTTCAAGTAGCTTGACCGTAGCGTCGCTGCTTTATTTATCAAGTAACTTTCCTGTAGCGACGTTATTGTTTTGATCAAGTAGCGACGTAGCGTCCACAAACGCTACAAAATCCAGGGCAAAACTAAGAAATGAAACCAGGTTTTCTATTTCTAAACAACAATCAGCCACAAAACTACTGTAAATAGCAGTTTCAGCTGACGCTTTATAAGTGGCGTAGTAGCACAGGCACACTCCGTAGGGTTAAACAAGCGCACCTTTTCCGAGGCTGTCGTTCTATTGGCTGGAAAGGTTGCTAGGCAACGATCCAACTGCAGTCTGAGAGAGCAAAACAAATCCGCAAGCAGAGCGTAACTGAGACCCGTGCAGAGCGGAGATGGAGGCAAGCGAGAGGAAAAAATATCTGTGATAATATAGAAAATATCTGTTTAAATCTGAGAGAAGAAACAAAGATTTTTGAGAGAAGAGAAAATATTTGAGAGCGCATGTTTTGAGTGTGAGCATTATAAGTTTTGAGTGCAAGAAGATGAAATTCTTTTCTCTAATTGAAGTTATGTGCTCTTGCATTATGGCAGGATAATTCTCCCATATCTATGTGCCACCAGTCTGATAGGGCGACACTGTGTGATATGGTAGTGCTTCCTTGGGTTGACTATAGTTCTAAGTTGTACGTTTCATATACTGTTGATTTTGTGTTTTCATTAATACATTGTACTTAAAAATACTTCCTTTATTTGCATTAAAACTTTGTCAGACTGATGTGAAAAAGTCTCAAGGATATCCTTCTTTGCAATGATGCTATTGCCTATTGCCTACTGTCCATTTATGCAACTTGTATTTTGTGGTTAAACTTTAGATTAAGCAGAAATCTATCAAAGATAATGCTGCATTTATTGTTAAGTTCCTCACATATATGTGTTTCTCTCTGTGCCAGGTGTAGAGAAAGACATGCCAAAGTCCAGGTCACACACACACACCAAGCACACACACAGAAACAGGGTTATTGCAAAGCAGACAGGGGTTCCTGACAGGTTGTGGGTGCAGGGGAGATGGGGAAAGATGAATGGCCAGGTTAAGGGTTTATGAAGATGTTGGGAGTCTGTTGGTTAGACAACTGTCTTCTGTAGAAGGTTTCCATTATGATGAGTGGCGAACCACTTGCCTTCTTCCATTTATGCAGTAATGCATGGCACCTACCATTTACTCTTTGTAATTTAGCACATTTTAACTGGTGTAGTTTAGTTGGTGAAGTAGCATTAGTGAGGGAAGTGTTTCCCAGGTATGTTGCTCTTAAAATAATGAATTTATAGACAGCGCCTTAGAAAGTGCACTGAAAAAATTTCGGCGCGCGCTATGCGCGCGCAATATCTTACCTAGGGGCTAAGCCACCCATGTCTCTCAAACCTAGTGACGGCCCTGGAATAAAGTAATATATGATAACATATATAGAATTTCAATCAATTTCAAAGAGAAATGGCATTTCATTAGAAAAAATAAAAGTGTAAGACAATAAACCAAACAAATATATGAGGCACTAAGTCAGAGCAACATATTTCTATTATACTTACTACAATAATGCAGTTTCTATCTTTATGTGCTTGCAACAGCGTTTAAAAAAAAAAAAAAAAAAAAAACATTTTTATCAATTTTTTAAATCAA